CCCGAAGAGAGAGAGAGAGAGAGAGAGAGAGAGAGAGAGAGAGAGAGAGAGAGAGACGAATGACGAATCGCTCCCTCCCGTCCGCTCATTTCCGCATCGTAGCCGGTTAACTTGAACCCGCGATGTGCGGTGTTTATCCATAATAGTACTGTTGCGCGTTTCTGCTTTCCGTAGATCGCGCGCGCACCCTCTCGAAATAATTTATCAATTTACCAGGTTTCTATTATACAACTATTGGATTATAACAAAAAGTTCGTAGCACTGCTTCATTTGTATCTCGTGTCTATTTTCATTTTGGAAACAAACAATTTTCATTTTAGACAACTCGTAATTTTCTTATATATAAAAGTTATCAAACTCACAGAAATTTAAAAGACAGTGACCTTTCGAAAGTACAGATTTTTAACTTAAAATTTTGTTTTTATAAATAAAAATTCCGTTTATTTTTAATATAAAGTTACAGCTGCATGAATTTTGAAGTTTATATCGCCATGAACTTTTTTAGCTTTTGTCCCAACCTAATACATCGCGACCGCGGAATAATTCCGTCGGAAGGTACGAATACACCGAGATGCAGCCAATAGCATGTTCGTCCATTATTGAAAGACAAATCGGAGGGAAGCGGGGAAGCGTAGAACGTTCCACTTTCCGCGAGAGCATTAAACCTAAATGTCATAACGAGAGACAATTGTTTAACTCTTATACATATTTAAGGCAATCGAGCCTTGGCGACGACGGTCGCGCTCGGTGTTCACACAGACAGATCAACGACTCGCTCGCTCTCTTCTTAGGTTAACGCCGTAATCTCGTTCCTCCGACAACGGCGGAGCAAAGAGTCCTCAGTTTACTTGTAAAACGTCCTTATCATTTCTCTCCTTTTCTCTTTTCGTTTCTTCTTTGCATGAGCAAATATGCGCCGCACGAAACGCGCGCGAAAGCTTAAAACAGCAGGAAGATGAGAAATATGAAGAGGAGGTCGCTCAACGTTTTCAGCGTCGAACCAAGTTCTGCAAGATCGCAGGATCGGCCTGTTATAATCCAAAGCATCTCGACGCGACGTTTGTATATCTTGTACTCGCCCAATTTCCTTTCACTATCTCAACCAGTTCGTTCGCGGCGGCTATGAATATGGAGTAACTGCGCGCGCTTTTAGCAACAAGCGAAAAATCCGCGTGACATTTCAATAGGCGCTTTTGCGATAAAGAGCAACGCCTACGCACGACCAGCAAGGTTTCTTCGATGCACTAGATATTCGGTATTGCGTAACGTGGACGTACTTGTACAAAGTCTCATGGCAGCAAATATATAATTCCGCCGTAATCGTTAGGCCACAAATTATCTTCTCTTTATGCGGAGACCAACCTTTACTCGTCATTAAGCTATAAATAATTTTCTCTTTACAGATATATTTTCTTCGGCCGTTATACCTTATCTCCTTGGAATATCGAATACCGAGTTTTAGACACATCATAAATATAATAGGCATTTTAGAAATATAGTAGGAATTCGGTAAGTGTTATTGGATCTGTTAAATGGATATTGTTAACAAAATTGTTATGGATACTTGAGTAAGTAATCTAAAAATGTCAATTTTAATAAGTGTTTTCTGTTATTTTTTTTTTCAATTTCACTGGATTTCGACGTTTATCATATTCGCGTTGATCTCAGCAATGTTCAACAGCATGCGCAGCAATTTTCCATACCGCTCACGGGTCAGAGCGCCCGTTAATGATTAACCGATTGCATATTCTAAACTAACGCAAGGAACCGACCTCTGATGGCGATCGTTCGCTCCGACGAACAATTATGATCTGATCTTTGATCCGGGGGATTGACGAAAATCAAGCAAGAAAATGGATTGACGAAACGAAATCCGAACGGCAGTTTGCATTTATGCGCCGACGCAAACGTCCCAATCTTCGTCGATGCGGGCGTTTTAATGGCTGTTCCGGAGTGCGCGACGATATAACTGTCCGAAAGTATAATTAACTACGGTGCGAGAGCGTAACGCTCTATGCAAGGCCGATACATTTGATGTAAACTCGATCATTGAAGTAATACTCGAGACGTAAATGCTAGAGCGACGTTGATAAATTCATCTGCCACGATTGATCCATCCGGTCTCTGACTTCTTGGTGGTACCGTGATGATTCGCTTGACACCGATGTTATCGAAATTTTTTGTAAGATGTTTATACAAAATTCATTCTATCTAATATAACATTTTTAATAGTATCTATAGTGAGATACAATTTAAAGTAAAAGTTATTGAATTCAACAATTAACTATGAGATTGTAACCTATTTAATTAAATTACACAATATTTAATTATTTTATATACACATATATATATATATGACTACAATGAAAATTCTGTTGCGACATATATGGTAACACATACGAAGCTTGCTGGACGGACAACTCTGAAAGTACACAATATGCCTGCTTCTGTGTACACAAGACTACACCTCGAATTCTTCACGTCCAACCAGACGTAAAGATTTTTATATCCACACGGGAAGAACGGTTTTGCTAAAGTATGTAATAATTTAGCTACACTGGAAAAAAAATTAGCTAAATTTGAGTAAACATTTCTTTGAATAGTTGCAAGTAAACATTTATTTAGAGCAAATAAACATTTGCTCAATAAAATATAATTATACTTAAACCAAATTAATGATTCTTGTATCAAATAAATATATGTTTACATTTAGTAAATAATTTACTTGAAAAATATTTACTTAAATTTATTTTTTTTTCTAGATACAGATCTGAAAATAATCTTGTTATACCACCAAATAATTATATAAGACGCCCAAGTAAGTTGCCAAAGTCAAAATTTTTTGTTTGTTACACTTAAGTATCCTACATAATTATTTTAATAATTCAATAGAATATCATTTTCGGATTTGTATCTATAATAGCTAAACTTTTAATTATTTTAGCGAATTGGTTCTTTCTACGTAACTCTGGCAAAAATAGCATACTTTCCAATATATTTTTTTTCCGAAAGATCAAACTTCGTACGTAGAATACGATTGTAAAATCAAAATTTAAGTTTGCTAAATAGCGAAACATTTGAATAAGAAGATATCAAGAATGTGCGATTGAAGCGATTTGAAATTTGAAACTATTATCGTGTCTAATTCAGAGTTGAAGAGGATATTCTAGTCTAGAACTAAAAAAGAAATCAATTTTTCTTTTTTTTTTACATTTTATAAATATTGAGGCCGGTATTCACAGTCGGGTCTTATATTTAAAACTGTATAATTTTAAGATGTCATAAATCAATCACTGAGCCGTATTAGCATCTTAAGGCATTATCTAAGACAGTCTTAAAATAAGAACCAACTATGAATATACTGGCCTGGAGAATCTTAAAAATTTTCGATAATTATTAAAATAACAAAAATGTAAGTATTTTTAAGGTGTACAAACCGTTCCATCAACGCGTTCAAAGGCAATTGTTATCAAGTGTAGATTGTAGAAAAATATGAATATTTCAAGTTAGAGGAGAGTTTGCATCGTCATAGAGTTTATAATTTTCATTTTTTTGTAATGTAATTGTATTTAAAACTTAATGCGTTTTTCTCGAAATCATATTTTACAAAGTCGTTGATACATAAAATATAATTCTTCAGTTAATTTACAGACATTGCAATAATCCTATACAGATTATTTCGATATCTATAAATAAATTATATTTCCTTAGATGTTAAATTCAAAAATTTTGTTAAAAAATCGGTATTTGTCTTTTAAAACCACTTTAACAATGTGCAATACTATATATTTATCCCAGTTTAGATTATATATGTAACTACATGCACATATATAACTAAAAATCCATTTGAATTTTTAATTTCGTTAAGTTGGAAGCCTACAATCGTGTCAATCACTGAAACATTTTTTCTTATATTTTATTTTTAAATTTACGTAAAAAAAAAATTAAATAAACATTTAACTATATAAAAATTTGTGGGCATTTACTATAGATGTGGAAGATGTGTAAAAGTGAAGAAGAATACGTACAGCTGTTTTGTTTAAATAAATTCTCGAAAACAGGCCACATTTTCGCGCTCTAGACTAGAATATCCTCTTAATGTAATTTAGATTGAATTTCAATCAGGGACTGCAGGCTACTATCAAGTGGTGTCTTTCGACAATCCTCTAAATTTACTGGGGAGTTTAAGGAAAACAAGAACGGGGAGGAGGGGCGTGAACGTAAATGATCCTCCCTGTCGTCTACGCGTCGTAAATCGTAGCTTCTGAGTAACCATCGGTCGTTACGTTAGTATATCGTCGCGTTAGCCGGAAACTGGTACCGGTACCGCTGACATAATGTAATCGCGTCAACCGTCGACGCAGCAACAACCATTCCCGACGTGCCAGATTCTGCCTCGTGACAACTCTGTGCTTCATGATAAAACGATTACGTTCGAAATAAAATCACATCCGCTTCCGCTTCGGATTTCGTCCCATTCGATCGTGATTCCGTCGATCATCGCGATCGAATGGGACAAATGAGAATAATGTAGCGAAAGCAAATAGCCCAGACTAAGAACAGATGTGCAGAGAGGGAGCAAGACGACGCGTAACTCTTTCGGAAAATTCGCCTACTTACATTTGATGAGGACAACCCCGTTGTGCAGTTCCTCCATCTCGCGGAGGCAAATGTTCCTTACGATGATTTACTCGCGTAACACACACACACACACACACATACATACATACACACACACACACACACACACACTCCCCTTTCTCTATACTCTCTCACTCACTCCATGATCGTCGAAAGCGTTCGCGGAATGCGATCGCGCTACCACACGCGAATTCATAGCGCACGCGTTGTACATGGTACGTGCATGGTACAGGCCGCCCGCGCAAACGTATGCACGCACCGTAGGCACGCAGAAACGGCCCGGGTGAGCGAATAGCGATGAAAACGCGATTTTACGAGGCGAAAAATCACATCGGACACGTGCGCACGCGGCCGGTTGCGGCCCGCACAATTAACAATGATTAAGAAGAACGGCGCGGCGTCGAGGCGAAGATAAGGAGGAAGACAGGACGCTCCGGGTCCGCGTCGCGCCCGCGCCGCGTCGCGCTCGACGAAGAAGCGAAGCGAAGCGAAGCAAAGCGCGAGGCGAAACGAGCGAGCGATCGGAGCGAGTCAACATGGCCGCGCCGCGTGTTTCTGGCTCCGGCCCTCCGCGCTCGCTACAACACTGACGCCGGAGGTTGGAGAAAGAGGCGAAGGGCACGGCACGGAGGAAACGGAGACCGAAGCGCGAGCGGGTGGCCGGGCCGGGGCGGGTAAGAGGAAGGAACGCCAGCGGCCAAGGCAGAAGGAGGGTACAAACTGTTGGTTGCAGCCGACAAACGAGAGAGAAAGTACGAGCGATCGAGAGTGAAACGCACCAACAAACAGCTCGCAAGTCGCACCAACGCAGCTGTGTACGGCGACCACGGCGACGGAGGCCGAAAGAGGAGGAGGAGGAGGAGAGAACGGAGGTGGACGGACGGGTCGAGAGACGGTGAATGAATATAAAAGAGGAAGAGGCGCGGTGCAGAACGCGCGAGAAGGGATATAAAGAGAGAAGGAAATATATATATACATATGTGTGTATGTGTATACATAGCGACAGCTGTACTATCAAGTCGAAACAAGAGTAATAGAGAACGACTCGAGATAGTATAAGAGCGTTAGAGAAAGACGCGAGATAATCTCGCTTTGGGCGAAGAAGGACCCCATCGCTAGGCGGTGCGTGGCATACATTGCGAGACTCTTTGGAAATATATATGCCGCGTAAGGTGTATGCGATTGTTACAAATCGGCGTGACGTGTTAACGAGAGTAATTGGAGCCGAGTAATAAAAGTAATTTTCGTTCTATTACCGTGAGGGCGGTACGCGAAATTATATTGTGTGAATCGAAGCGAGTTTCTCGCTACTGGACCCCGTCGAGGTCTCGCATTACGAATATAAATATATGTATATGTATATATGTTGTATATGTGTGAGATACAAATGCAACTCGACCGGTACGGAACGCGTTTAACACCATCTCGTCGCTGCCTTACCGCTAGACGGCGCCACTAGCCGTGCAATTAACTTCCGATCAGAATACGTAATTTTTTAACATTATTGGTCTTGTCCTTAGTTCCTCATTGGATCTAGATACATAAACCAGTCATATCTTAAAGGCACTCACAACAGCTGCGAAATTGCTTTTTCTGCTGAGAAATATGTATATACCTATATTATAGAAACTAACGTTTTAGAAACATTCGTTCTCAGCTCAATTTTAAGATGCTCATAGATGAAGCTGCTTAGTCTGTAATAGTATTCCCTCTCTTCTTTCCTTGTACTCTACATCTCTTGTATCAATAAAAAAAATTCCACACGAGTAATTACTCAAAGAGATTGAGATGAACGTAAGAAGACAACGATCAAGGTCTTCTTGAACGTACAAATGAGACTATTTTCTTCCAGATTCTTGTATTACATACTGAAAATAATTCGGTTAATGAAACATACAAACCCGTACATATATATTTTAATATTAAGTGAAAATGGACCGAGAATGTTTCATACAAATGAATGAAAAAAACTATATGTATTCGATCAAGGCGGATAAATTTTTACAATTGCTTAAACTGGAAATTATGTGAAAATTTACACAAAAATATTATTAGGCACTAAGATCGGAATTCATAGTCCGTTCTTAATCTCAAGACAATCTCGAGCAATGTCTTAAGATGCTAATACGGCTCTCTGATTGGTTCATGACATCTCAAGCACTAGCTGAAGACCATCTCGAATCTTGAGCAACGTTTATGGATTCCGCCCTAAGACTCGCCTTGATCGAATATGGTCCTCATTATTTACATTTGTGTGTGTTAAATACATATTTTATATATTACTTGTATCTCTTCTTCTCAGTCCTATTGCTCGTGACCGAGCGTGGTGACTTCTCCCATATGTCTGCGCACGCTGGTTGTACACAGTCATATGGGGCCTACAGTTTAACATTGGTTCCGAACGACGATTTATTAGAGAAGTGCTCATGGCAAGGATACTCTCGATGGTTTGCTATTGCCTTCCGAGAGGAGCTGCGAGCGTTGAAAAATATTTTTCGGTTCTACCCGGGATCTTTGGTATAGCAGTCTCATGCGCTGCCTGCTACGCCATGCTCGCACTCATATATATACATACTTGTGTAGGAATATATATATCAGTTGACGAATATATTACGATACTCTAATCTCCTTGATTTATTTTAATTTTCGCAAGAAATCGTCAAGTTTTTTGCAGAGCGATCGACAATCGGGGAAAGAAATGTAATGAATCCAAGTGAGCGTGCAAAGCCGAAAGAGGGTTATGCGACGTAAGCAGAAGGAAAAGGGGGAGGGAGAGAAAGAGGGAGGGAGAGAAGAGAGAGGGCGGACGTTTCACGTGATCTCGCATCTGCTTCTCCACCGAGTGACCCCACGGCTGACCCCTTCCAAGTACCAATAATTAACTCCATTCGCCAAATGCACGCGAGCGTACGGGCCGAGTGTATGAGCGTACTCGTGTGTCCATACTCGCGAGCAGGCATTCTTATAAAAAGAAAGGCTATGCGTACTTGCGCAGTTATACGCGACGAAACACCTTAAAACGGGAGTAGGAACAATGCTCGAGTATCCGCTTCCCGAGCAATTCTGTAATTATTTTCTTTTTCGTAAATCGTAGTCGCGCTCTTCGATCATAACAATTCTGTCACGAATGATTCTTGAAATCTTACGTCTTGCTTACATCACAATGTGATTACGATAGGTATACATATTTAAACATTTCCACTTTCCTCTTGGCCCTTTCTCTCATTTGTAACGATTTTTCGTTCGGAATGTGTACGCGGCTATATGTAAAGTGAGAAAGAAGAAATCGCTGCGCGTCCTTTCCTTTCTTGCTTCTAAGAAACGTGCTTCAAGGAAAACGCCGTGTTTGTATTCTTGCCGCGCAACGAACTACGCATTGAGAATTTGTAACGGATTGCTCATGCGCAAGTAATTCATAGCCGCACGCAGTCTGCAATCGACTACCGAGCACGATTATCATGTTCACGAAACGACGAGAACGTGATAAAGGCGACAGCGAAGATTACCGTTGAATACTTTGGCTACCATATGTCTCTTTATATCTTATCTTTCTTTTGAATGAAATCGATATTATTAATGATTTATCAGACTCACCAACGATCTTGTTATTGCTACTACTGTTATTGCTGCTCCCGAAAGAGTGAAGTTTTTTCCAGCCTTTCCAACCTTTTTTCCAAATCATGGCGGCTTTCGTCTTACGTAGAACGCCCATCGGTTCCGGACCATTCGTTCTCCCTATTCCCCTTCTTAAAGATCCCAAACCCGATCTGTGAATCGAATTCAAATAAGACTGGAAGATAGATTTGCTCGCAGAACTGAAAATATCGTTAAAAAATATAGTATTCTTGTAACCTATTCGCGCGAATGAAGGCAGAATATTTTATCAACGTACCTGTAACTCGCGGTAGAACTCCCACTGAAACCGCTGTCCATGTCGCATCCAACGCGAGAGAGATCGTCAGCGGGGTTAACCGAAGGTAAGAGCTCTTCGGTAGAGGTTCCATGAGCTTCCTGCGCCATTTCTTCCTCGTTATTGTCGACCGTGGTTGGCATTAGCATTGCCTCCACGCTTAAATTGAGTTCCCCGAGCACACGACGATGCCGCGATTGTACGCGACGCACCTCTTCTGCCACGAGCGACCTTCGCGATCCGTGTAACGCGCGATGACATTGCTTGCTGAAAAATTTATCGGGTATAGTTTGAAAATATATATCTGCTTAATTCTTTCGCGATATTTATATTATATTTTCTAAGTAACATGTTACATGTTCTAAGTAACGATCATTCTAAAATTACCAACTATATATATATAATGAATACTCCGCGCTAAGTGAATATACAATTGAATTAAATTCGCACACTGATTTTACTGCTCGCAAGAAGAGATAGATTACAAGTTATCTGTAGTCCCTCGACAATGTATGAAATAATATAGTTATGCACTTAACGAGCGTTCTCAATTTGAACGCGCGCGCGGTTTATCTCGTCTCAATGACTTATGCGCCAGTCGAGGACGCTGGATGAATAATCCACAACTTGTTTTCTTATTATTCCTAACTCAATCGTTATCTCCGGCATCCGCTTCAAGATACATTGAACCGTGCCGAGTTGGTAAATTATTGTTCACTTGTGCCGCGCGTATTACTCGCTTATGCCCGCAGGAAAATTTGTTTTAAGACTATTCGTAGACGCTAATATTTTCAACAGAGTTTTAATTAAAGTATAATTTAGATTTCTCCTTCGTCAATTTTCAATTTCTGTAAGCACTGAAAATCACGAGTGCGGTGTTTGGCGACTTGCAAGTTTAAACATTTCTCAGAGGTGATAATTTTTCGTTCATGCATAGACCCTCTAATGGATGCTCACCTGATTTCCGATATCTCTTCATAAATGTTTTCCTCCGTGCCATAGCAAGTTGTGTAAGTGTGTCTTTTTAAAGGATCCGACCTTATCTGCTGCAATTGTTGCTGTTGTCGCAGCAGCAGCTGCTGTTGCTGCTGCTGCTGTTCTTGTTGCTGTTGCTGCTGCTGCTGCTGTTGTTGCTGCTGCTGTTGCTGTTGCTGCTGCTGCGACAGCACCTCTGTCGGATATGTCGTGTGGAAATGATCGGAATCAGACTGGTAGTATGCATACGAATAATCCAAAAGATGCTGGCGTGAACTCGTGATGGGTGACACTGGCGATACCGGTTCCATTAATGCGTTACACGATATCTGCGAAAAACATAAAGCGCCGCTATGCAGGATGAAAGCAGACTTTGCCAACGTCAAGCATTATAAATATTACTTTGCTTTAAAGAAATACGTGTGAATAAATAAGAATGTACCTTTTTTGTAAGAGTCGCTTACCCCACTCACTGTTACCGCGAGCAATGAAACGCACGAATGTGCATCATTAGCGAAATTAATAATCCGCATTTCGAAATTTACCTGATTGTGAGGCGGTGGATAAGGTGGAGGTGGGGGAAATTCCAGGTTGACTATTCGCGGCGGCGGGACGCCTGTCGTCATTCCTGGTCCCCCTAAGGACGAAGCCATGGCACATTGTACGGGGAACTTTAAGTAAACCACCCTGATCGCTTCCTCGTTACGTGTTCCATCGAGTTGTTTCTATAAACAAGGAAAATAGATGTATTTTACACCGCGTGAGTCGCGCCCATTTGGCGCATCTTGCGCGTCGTGCGACGTGCTCGGGGAGACAATCAAGTCGTTGTTCCCGGTCCTCAAAGATTACACGACGTTATTTAACGCACTTACCGAAACACAAGGCATTACGAAATTTGTCTCACGAAATCGGGAACGTTTCGCATTTATTGCTCGCGATGATTCGTAATGGTTGAAAAATACAGACGGGAGGAAGCAAAATCCGCGCCCCACGAGATAGATAAGCGGGTACTTATCTTTCTTACGTTTGTTCTTTTAGTTGAATTTCTTGCACAGATCATGAAACCGTTCAAAATGGATTCCGAATTATTTCGTTCTCTCTAGAAAACACAATAGAAATCTAAGGAATAATTGAACAATTCCATAATACGTGTCCAGTTTATCGTTTCTCTTTTTCTCTCCAGCGTGAAAAGAAAAAGAAAAAAGATGAACAATGCAAGTTCAGCTAAAAAGAATAGGCCTCTTGACAAAAGTGCAGGTGTGGGCGCATTCTATACACAGAAATATATTGTACTACTAAATATCATTATACTACCAAGAAAAGTGATTACTCAATTTATCTTTTTTTTTCAATACCGGTTATCCTTAACAAAAATATTTTCTTCATAATAATCTTAAAACATAATCTTTAAAATTTTTAAAGTGAATATCATACTGAAGAATAAGATTCACTTTTAAAGACTGAAAAATGAGCCACTCTTCTTCAAGCTCAATTTTCACTCTTTAAAAAGAGATTCCATTTTAAGGAATTTATAAAGAGTATTATTATAAATTTTACAAAAAATCATTAATATGTACTCAAAACAAAAATTTATTATTTCAAAGATATTATAAAATTAATCCAAAAAACAATACTGTATACAATAAGCAAATCAAATTTATTTTAATTCGATAATATTGATTGAAATATTAAACTTACTAGGATTATATGAACTTTTGAAATATTTGAAACAAATAATTATTATCTGTGTACAGTATGTATTTTTCATGTGTATATTCTAATATTTACACGTTCTATTAATCGCTTGTACGTAGGAAATAATCAGCCGAACGTAACTGGGCTTCGCTCATCTGTGCTAACAATAAATTAATTTAAAATTTCGTGCCAGATGAACTCGCCTATAAACAAAAATACGTATCTCCGAGAAGACGACGTTGGACGTCTTCGACGAGCGATTCTCTCGCGTGCCTACAAATAGTCACAGAAGCGTGAAAATATTTACTATCCCGCGTAACTCACTCTAAACGTTTCATAATATCGCGATAAAAATATGCGAGTGCAAAGAGCCACACACTCAAGCATACAGAAAATCGGCCTACGAACGTTGGCAAAAATAAACTTTGTTCAAATTTTTTTTTCTCGTTCAAATTTAGAAATCAGAAAGACCTCGCGAACGAAACGAAGATGAAACGATGTACTGTCGTGAACTCGGACCATTCCACACACAGCTCCACATACAGCTCCACACACGCACTCACATACATGTACACAGAGTTATTTATGATAATATATATATAAATTGAAGTTAAATCTAATAAAATTATTCTACTGGTTATATATGTCGTCAATATTTTGATTGTTCACACAGAGAAATTCTGAGCAGATTCGTTAGCACGTGCAAGAATCAAAGAATCCACTAACGTATCACGAAAGCGATACGCTGCTTTTAACTTTTTTTTACTATCCCAGCTCCCAGCAATCACGATGACAAACAAGTTATTAAGAAATTGATGAAGAATACAGTGGTTCATCTAGTTTAACGATCTCGAATAAACGTGATTATTTGCTCGCCGACACTAAGCACGAGAGATCAATCTACTTCGCGGAAATAAAAACTACAGCTTTTTCAGCAGTTCTTCAACATCGATTGCTCATCACGACAAAAAATGATAGATCGTTGACTGGCGAAGGTTGTTTGTCTAAATTACCTTACTTATATTCTCCCTAGAAGATCGAATACCATGCGTTAGTCTGTTTATTGGACAATAATAATCCATCACAGACGCACTGAAGGAGAAAGGATGAAAAATCAGTTAATCGCGTGCACGTTTATCGCACTCGGAAACACCAAAGGGAAGCCAACAACCTCGGGCGACGAGATTTCAGGCCGAAAGGTTCGTCGGTTCGTCGATCCGTCGTCGATCGATCGCGGAACAGCGTATATTTGGATCCGATATCCGATCATGTAATAATAAGCGGAGATACCTCGTAGCGGCGAGATGATAGAGAGGCCAGGGCCAGCTTCGAGAACGGGACCCAAGCACGCGCGTCCCAACTCGGCGGAGGGCCCTTATCCCTGTGGATCACTTTGGATCACTTTGGATCGTTCGATGGCAGAATGCAGGTACGCAGTGCGGACTGTTCGGAGAGTAGGCCCCCGACGACCGACGATGGCACGATCTCCGCGACTCGACGTTCACGTGCCGCGATTGTTCGCGATCGAGTGCCACGGAGTGCCGTGGCCGGCCGGGCCACACACGAACCACACGAACAACGGATTCGTTTGCGCCTCGTGCTTAGATAGTTTCGCGTTCGCTCATTGTTGTAGTGAAGCGAGCAAGCACGCCCCCTTGAGAAGGCAGTCGACCGGTCGACCGGTCGACCGAGAAAAGCGAAAAGAGAAGGAGAAGGAGAAGGCGGCGGCGGCGAAGGCAAAGAGAGAAAGGGGAACAACGGAGCAGAGAGCTGAGAGAGAAGGGACGTCGTCACCATTGCGACTCCCCTGTGATTGCAGCCTGTAATCGATTCGATCCACGCGATAGCGCACGTCACTCTCGTGCGCACCGCTGATCCTTCGAAAATTTCGAATAATAGCGAATAATAGCGAATAATAGCGAAACACGCCGAGAATTCCGAATTT